TCTCAACACTTTTATGCCTTTTCCTTGAAGAGAGAGCCTTCTCCTTTTTCTTGCTTTCCTTTTCCCTTTGGGGAACTCTTCTCCTTGAGAGTGATGTTGTTGATGATGATGCAATCGCTTCCTTCCTCCCTGGCTGCTTTCCTTCTCATCTGATTCCTCTGCTACATCAAGCTTCCGTTTCTTTTTCCCTGAATTAGTCTGAAGAAAACCGCAAAACAAGATGATCATTTGAGTTCATTATTACATGTTGCAGATAACAGAAAAAGAAAAATGCGAGAGTAAAGCCAAAACCTTGGGGCCACGATCAACCAGACGAGCCCATTCATGCCTATTTCTCAGGCAATCAAGAACAGCCTGCGAATGGCTTGAATAGGCGTATCGTTCTCCGTTATGTTTCCTCAAGTGAGGCCAGTGCTGCAAGCAAGACACCAACAACATATTAGAACGGTAAATCAAAGTGACCTGAGGATATGAGAATTAGGATATTTGGTAAGAAGGCATAACAATACCGGCAGGACTGCATTACAGAGTTCCTCATATGTCATCCTCTTGCCTTTACTCATGATTTCATTGATTAAGCCTGGCAAAGTCCGATGCACTGGAGAACCATTTTTCCTTGGGGAACTGCGTGGAGAAGGCATATTATGCTCATTCAACTCGTTGGATGAGCATGGTCCGCTGCTTGTGCTTGTAGTTGAGTTTGGTGGGAGAAGTACTTTCCGAGAGTAGGAAGAGGTTCTTGGTGTTTCATTTTCTTCTCCTTTGGTACACAAACCCCCTCCTCTGCTTCCCCTGTCTTGTTGTGTCCTCCGATCAGGAGAGCAACGCGTTTTGGTACTCCTCGTACTACATCTTTCATCATCACGAAAATTGCGGAAATCTTCTTTGGAGGCGTCCTTGTTTTTCCTTCTGGAAAACTAGCAAATAGATACATCATCAGCAAACAAGGTTTGAGCCCAAAGAGAGCATTCGCTAAAAGACAACGATAGAAATTATATCATACCGTTGCATGATCCTTGCTACCAGAACTAGAAGTACGCTTAAAACTGGTAGCGGTTGGAGACAGAGGCAAGCTACCAGGCTGTCTCATGCGTGGGACACGGGGAACTCGAGGAGAACTGTTGAGTTGGTGGTGCAACCTTAACGCAAGCTGTGGTCATTAATAGTAAGAAACAAAGAATGTCAAACCATAGTTGATGGCTCAGGAGAAGTGAGAAGACTAGCAAAAAGGAGAAAGGATTATATATAACGCACCTCTTCATCACTCAGATTTGGAGCAAGGGAAATTATAGAGTGTACAGGGTTCTTAGTTGATGATGACTGGAATATCGAGTGTCCAGGCTTTTCACTTTTACCCGAAAGCGAATTTTTACCAGAAGCCTCAGAAGAACCACCATTAAGCTGAGCTGCTGAAGATGCCGCCTTAGAAGAAGAGGAAGAGTCTCTTGTCTTGGAAACCGAAGAATGGGAAGTACGGCTTCGCTGTATTGACTTCGTAGAGTATTTACGGTGATCTTTCAGTGCTTTCTGTGAAGTT